CAGTGGAATTTGTTGTCTCCGTCTTACCAGTGCGTAATATAACAAATTCAGGGGCGGCATTTGGGGGATGACAGGGTGTGCGGTTGCACCCCTTACTTTTAGAATGTTACAATTGGCCTGCGCCTTGCTGAAGCCTAAAATAATGCACGRGCCACRAATGCWCAAWTATTTATATGATTAAAATCAAATTGTAATAACCGGTCTATAATGTATGGAAATAATTGAATGCAGGATAATATACATATACGTATGTATATCTATTTTTATATGGCCTGGTGAAATTTCAAAATGGCCTGCTTGGAAAAAAACCTGAAATGACGCCCCTGAACAAATGTACGCTCAGCAGAACACTTGTAGCTCCTTTAGTTTAAAAATTACAGTAGATCGACCCAAGTGTGTCCATCTTTGAAAATACAGGGAGGGGAAACTTAATATTTGCAATAATATTGACCATTCTGTTAACCTGTTAACTGCTATATTAAGTTTACGTAGAACAATATTTTATGACTGTATAATATATATACAATAGTATTTATTAATTTATCATAACTATATAATTATTTATTAAATAAATTACACTTGGTAGTTCAATTTTTAATAAAATATAAAATATACAACATAAATAGTTCACTTTATTATTTAATTCTATAAGTGTCAATAACTTAACTTAATACAATAACTTACTACACTAGAATAAATACTTAAATAGTATATTATGTGGCAAGGGCGGGAAGTGAGCCATTTCAGTCGCTGGCGTCGTGTGCGTTATGAGCATTTTTAATGTACTGTATATTATGTGCTCATAACTCACTTAAAAATTGAATTATCGTAAAAAATCAACATACAAACACAGATAATATTCTTATCATCAAATTTCATAATAGGTCGATCCACTGTAATTTTTAAACTAAAGGAGCTACAAGTGTTCTGCTGAGCGTAAATTTGCTATATTACGCACTGGTAAGACGGAGATAACAAATTCCACTGATACGTACTCTTAACAGGCTTAGGACTGTCTGTTTCAAACTTTTAAACAGGTGTGATTAAAAATGTATGTGTGTGTGTGTGTAAGATGTGTGTTACATAACATCATTAGYCAATATAAAAATATAAATAAATAATAATAAATAATATAAAATATAAATACAAAAATATACTACAATTAAATATTAACATGAAGTATCGTCGTAATTGTTATTATTTTAAATTAAAAT